ATGCAGCATGTACGGTTTCTCAGGGATCGGCCCCAGTGGCGACAATGCCCCGCGTTTCAGACGGCTTGGCAGTTTGCTCGCATCAATCCAGTTACCATGGATCGCCATCGGTGACTGGAACGCGTCGCCGGTGCAGTTGTGCGCAACAGGCTTCGTGGAAAAGTAGCGGACACTGTAGACGCATCTGAGGCTGAGTTCACGTGCACTTCGGGGGAAAATTGACCCTAGTTTAGATGTTGCGGTGTGCTCCGAGGCTGCTGGGCCTTATATCCCTGGGCTCAGGGCCGTCCTGGATGATCGTTGGGAACCGCGCATTGGTCTCAGTCCCGAGCTCGTCTCGGAAGGTAGCCAGCAGTGCGCTAGGTTTCTTGATCTTCCACCCCAGCTCCCACCAGTGGCCCGTCCAGCTAGGCTACCCGTGGACGGCTCCAAGTCGAGCCGAACGAAGGTGGAGCGTAGGCTTGCGCAGCAGTTGGGTAAACAGAAGCGGCACGATCGAATCTGTCAGCGGTTCCGCGTTGAGAGCGTTGGCGGGGTAGGGGGGGGGGGGGGGGGGGGGGGCGGGCCGCAGGCTCCCCTCAGCGAGGCCGAGACAGGTGTCGGCGACCTGCTGGGAGGTGCGCACTGCGACTCGGGCGAGGAGGAGGACCCGCGGGCCTTCGAGCCCAACGTTGGACCCCCTCCGGCGCGCCTGCCGCCTCTATGCTAGAAGCTTCAGATAAGTCAATGAGTTATTCAGCCCAGCATGAGAACCCCTTCAGATAGTAGCCCCTTGCAACTGTCTCTAGAAGAATATCATGAGCCATTGCCCCAGGGGTCAGAGGGGAATTAAACAACCAAGGTTGATTTTAACATAGCTGAGGCCACTTGGAGTGCTGTAAGGAAAAACGTCAGTTTCATTCCGTCGAGCACTTACCCGCCTGCGGATGCTGATGTTCGTTCCGTAGCGCATGCCCTTGGCTCGTATACGTGCGATCCCGTCAGCAGTCTCATCAGTGCGTGGACTCGCGCGGTGGAGGCCAGTCTCGCCTCGCACCATGGCCGGGCCAGCCGTGGGCGCTCTCGTGCGGAGGGGCCAAAGTTTCGCACCGACATTGTCTTGGAGGCTACCGCGCCCAGAACTGCGCCGATGAGGGGTCGCATCAGCGGCTGGTGGACCAGGGTGCGTGTAGTTCTAGATGCATATTCCAAGCATCGCGCCAGGAACAATGGAGCGAAGCAGCAGCAGCAGCAGCAGCAGCAGCAGCTGCTACTTTCGTCGCGCATGAAGTTCAGCGGGGAGGCGCCCGAGCAAGGGCGCCAAGTCCTCCTGTCTAAGGGCGGCATCTCGTGGGCATCTTGGCTACAGCTGCCATCATCTGCTGGCGCGCGCTGCGCGGCCAGGAGCTCGCTGAAGCAGCCAAGTTTAGTGAGCGAGTTTCTCAGAGAAGCCAGCGACGTGCCATCAGTCAGTCACTGGCAGAATTTCGAGAGTGGGCGGGGTCTCAGAGCGCTGTGCCGGCCCTGCATCGAGCGACGCGAGAAGCCCCTCAGGTTTCTCCTTTTCTTGTCGACGGGGGCAACCATGCAGCGCCCGCGGGGCATCATGGATCGGGAGCGCGTGAATTTCCAAGTGTTGTGGGCACCCGAAGGGGCAGCAGCTGGAGGGCCTTCAGGATCTCTTTCATGACATTCGGGCTCGAGTTGCAGAGGGCCCCCCCCGCCTGCGCAGGCGAGCAGCTGCGAGCGGCAGGCAGGCGCATGAAGCAGACCGCGGCCATGGGGGTCGACCGCCCCACGGCGCTCGACACCGACAGGCCCCCCGACAGTGCGCTCGAGGAGTTAGCGGCGGCCTTAGCGGCGCGAAAAGGTTGACAGGCGTGGCCGCGCCAGCTGCTCCTGACGATCGGCGCGCTGCTGCCGAAGAAGACCGCAGGCGACAGGGTCATCGGCCTGCTGCCCCACATCGCGCGGCTCTGGCCCTAGGCGCGAGAGCCTTGGGCGCGCTCGTGGACCGAGGGCTGCGGGGCGCCGCGGGGCGCCGCGATCCGAGGCGCCGCGGCGCTGCAGGAGGCGTTCGCCCGCGCGGTTGGCGAGGAGCTGGCGGCTCGCCCGGGCGTGGCCCATGGCCGCGGCTTGCTGGGCATCGCCAGCGCGCGCGACTCCATCGGGTGGCTCAGGTTGGGCATGACGGCTTTGCGACTGGACTTCCCAGCCGAGGTCCTGGGGCTGGAGCTGTCGCAGTGCATGGCGGCGCGGCGCCCGCGACAGTCGGGGGCCTACTCAGAGGCTTTCGCCCCGACGAGGTCGGTGGTCCAGGGCCCGAGGTCGGGCGCGCGTTTTGCCAGAGTGGTGACGTACTTTATTACGCAGCGAATCACCGTAATCCATGTGCAACTATCACACAGTTTGTGGACCGATGATTAGAGCCAGGCGTCGAAAGGGTCCAGGCGAGCTGTGCGTGATCGACACGTGGCATGTTTGAAGGAGACATGCACGTTGATGCAGAGCGAGGGCCTCAAGATCCCCCCCCCAAGAGCGCGGCGGTCTGCGCCGAGCTCGCGGACGCAAAGCAGATCGTGAGACGCCTCAGAGCGGATGGTTTCTCGGTGACGGCTGCGGCGCAGACCCCGCATCTCGGCGCTGATGTCGGCGGCGGGCGGCGTCGCGTTCGCGCGACCAGGGCGGCGAGAATAGCTCGCCACCAGAGGATGCACAATAAGGCCGCGAGGTATGCACGCACGGCGCGCAGGTACCGGCTGACGGCGCGGCTGGAGCAACAAGGCGCTGCAGCAGCGGGCGCGCATGCCCATCTTTTGCACGGAGTATTCGGCCACAGAATCAGGCAGATGAGGACCATCTTGTGCGACGCATCTAGCCCTCTGCTCATGGGGCGACGCGTTGCGACGCTGCTGGACTAGCGCGCCCCAGGGCGCGACCCTGCATGTCGGTTGCCACGGGAACGCCTGCTGATGTGGATTCGGACATGGTTCCCGCGACCTGCGATGCGCAGCGGCATCGAGCGAACCTGGAGGCAGCTTGCCCAAGAGCTTGGCCCCATGAATCCACAGCTGCGCAGCCGCCACATACGAGGACCACAGGTCGCAGTGGTTGCCTACCTCTTGCAGGAGGGGCGGGAACCAGATGGGCCAGCCGACTGGCGAGTCCAAAGCGACGGTTCGGAGACCCAGCGCAATTGGCATTTCAACCCAGAGGCCCTGATAGTCATCGAGAAGGTTGACGCGCCCAAGGCCTTCCTGCAGGAGTACGAGGGCGCGGTCATGCAGAGGTTGTGGCGCCAGGCCGCAACTCACTTCGACGGCGCGGGCACGGAGGGAGGGATCTGCAACCTCTCACTCCGAGCCCTTCTTCGTCAACTGGAGGAGGGGCCCAACTGCAGGCAGCTGTCGGGCATCCTCTTGTGAGCGGCGGCAGGAGCAGCATGGCCACGGGGGCGTAGGTCGGAGAAGTCCTGGTTGCCTATATCTCGGATCTGCGCTTGATGTCGAAGTGAGAAGGAACCCTCGTTTCACCGTGTTGGAGTTGTTCGAAGCGTGCTGGTCATGACATTTACAGACTTTCAGATGAGTGCGCCCCGAGGGCCCACGCACGGCATGAGGTTGAGCCATGTTTCTGGCACCGAGGCCTCCTGCCGCAGTCCTGGGCCTCCGTCCCGCCCCCACAAGAGGAGGCTGCCTGGTGGGGCGAGGGCATACAGGGCGTTTGAAGATAACTGCTTCGGTCGGGGCTCGGCGTCGGCCCCCGTTTGCCTTTTCGGGGATGCAAGCGGGGGCGGAGATGCCAGCGACGCGCGGCTCCGTAGAGTAGGTCGCGGCATAGCACAGTATTCTGATATGTCCGAAAATATGCAGTTGGTTGCGTCTGTGCGGGAGGGGCCTCCCTGGACCCCTACAGACTGTAGCCAGGGGTGAGCCTTACAGCTTCCGTCAGCGCTGATATGCGCCGACGGACTTGTGATATATACCACTGATAACTCCAGTGTGTGCTCTGGGTGGTATTGTGGCCGAGTTTTCGCCCCCGGCGGGGAGAGCGCGGATGTGTGGCACCAGGTAGGTCAGGCTATCAAGAGAAAACCGCATTTGCGTTGCACTGTCTTTTAGGCTCGGGATGTCGTTCAGGGTGGACCCCCTTTGTATTTGACCGTGGGGAACGCGGCAGAAGATAAACTGGCCGAAGCCGCTGCCAGAGCTGTCCGCACCCCCGCAGACATCAGGACTAAAGTTTTCACGAGCGAGAGCATGGCTTTCGCCGTCCGCATGAGAATTCTGCTGGCCACCTTGGGAACTTCAAAAGTCGAGCAGGCCCTGGCAGCTGAGGAGCCCCGAGGAACCCGAGTCAGGAATCCTGGGCCCAGGCCACCTGCGCCTGTGGTGTGTAAAGAGTTTTCCACCGTACACGCTATCTGAAAACAGGCTCTCTTGTCTGAAGTGTAGGAGCACTTCGACCAAAGCTAGGCGAAAGAATTGGTTGGAGACCCCCTGCTTTGACCTGAGGGCTATAGATGGCCTGATTTTCAGGCCGCCCCCCCGTTGCAGGGTGCACATATGTGAGGGAGGGGTCTGATGAAACTCACACGTTACAGTTTCACGCTGGGCTGGGGATTTGTCTCTGTGGCTTCTGCGGATGTTTTGCGGCCCGACAGCTGGCCCAATTCGGAAGGAAGTGCGAGGCCAGGCAAACAGGTAATCGTGTTGATTATCGAGCGGGGGATCTGGCCTAAGCTTACATTAGAGCTGACAAGGCCAGAAGAGCGGCTCGTTCATGATAAGCGAGTAGGTAACCGACACAGTCGCAATATCCGTAACTCTGTAACTCCTCCTCCTTCTCCTCCTCCTTCTCCCTCTCCTCCTCCTCCTCCTCCTCCTCCTTTTCCTCCTCCTCCGCCTCCTTCTCCGCATCCTCCTCCCTCTTCCTCCCTCGCCCGTCCCTCTCCCTCCTGGTTGCTCGTCTTGCCCTCGCCCTCCCCGTCGGCCCCCCTTCCCTGCTGCCCGCCCTGGAAGGCCCAGAACACCCTGGCGTCCAAGCTGGCGCAGCACAACGGCGTGCGGCAGTTCAGCCTCGAGTTCTCGGGCGACCTGTCCGCGTCGCCCCCCCCCCCGCAGCTTTTCGGAAAGTTTCCTGAACATGATGGGCCTGTTTTCCACCACCACCACCATGAGTTGGAGGGGGGAAGGAGGGGGAGGACGAAGATGAGGAGGAGGAGGAGGAGGAGGAGGAAAAGGAGGAACTGGAGGAGGAGGAGGTGGTGGAGGAGGAGGAGGACCCCCTACCTATCCAACTTATGGTGGTGGTGGTGGTGGAAAGCAGGCCCATCATGAAAAGCCGCCCCCCTTCGCGCCGCCCCCGTGCGCCCTTCCGCCACGCTGGTGGTTGTCGGGCCACGCCTCGGGCCTCGGGCGGCCGCTCGGGACGATCCGGGCACCCCAGGGAGGCGCGCGGCGGGGCGCAGCGGCTGGAAGGCATCCCGAGGCCGAGAAAGTTTCCGAGAGCCGGGGGGAGGACCGACAGCTTCTGCTCAGAGAATCCTTCGCCGGTCAGCCTGCCTGCCCGCCCTGGCATGCCGACGCCGAGAGTCCTTGGCCGCCCGAGGGCCGACGACGACGACGACCTCTGACGACGAGGCGGCGGTGGCGGCGGCGGCGTCGAGGGCATGCCGACGCCGAGAGGCCTCTGGGGACAGCGGCCCCGAGGACAGACGACGACGGCAACGACGACGACGACCGACGACGACGACGAAGACGACGAAGACGACGACGACGACGACGACAACGACGACGACGACGACGACGACGACGACGACGACGACGACGACGACGACGACGACGACGACGACGACGGCGGCGGCGGCGGCGGCGGCGGCGGCGGCGGCGTCGGCTGCGGAGGACTCCCCCGATCTGCACGCCCTGGGATCAGGGGCAAAACGTTGGGGGGTGGGGGGGGGCGGTCATCAACTTTAGCATACGTGTCTAAGAGGGGGATGGGAACAGGGTAGCCCCAACCCCTCGCTGCGTGAACAAAGCATGACCGACGGTTTTTTACTATCTTCGGCCTCTGGGGCATTCCCCGTGCCCCAGGACCATCAAAACACGATTCAAAATGAGATGAAAAGTTGGGCCTAGGGAAGCGGCCGAGAGTTCTGAGGGTAAACGCTGTGAACAAAAATCACGGCAACCGTCAGGAACTTTGGCGTACCGTGTCCGCCGCCAGTTCCGGCCCACCACGCCCCGGCGCGACACGCTGTCCACGTCCGGATCCCCGAACGTCAGCGTCTGGCGCCTTTCCGAGCATCCCGCCGCGCGGAGCGAAGAGACGCGCTGTCCGCTTGCAGGGCATAGCGTGTCGCCGGGGCCGCCGCTGCGATACGCTGACCGTCGGCTCAAGTGGGAGAGGCATGGACCCCAATCGCCCACTCATCGCCGACAGGGGCACGACAGCCCCCCACCGCCGCCCAGGAGCGTTCGGGTTTTTTTCGCCATCGGGGGCCTGTCGCCGATCTCTCTTGGTGACGAGTCGCCGCTTCTGGATCCGTAGTATTCCCCCCATTCGCCGGCCCCCTCCCACCGTCCCCCCTCAACCACAGACCCTCTTTCCACACAGGCGGAAGGAGAGCGTCATGCTCTGGCCTGCTCAGTCGCCCACGCCATGTTTGTCGGGCGCGGTGTGCTCGATCTGCCACAGCTGTTGCTCCTGCTGCCCTTCGTGCACCTCCCCTTCGTCGCGCTGCTCCCCCCGTCCGCCCCGCACTTCCGCTTGGTGCGGCTTCGGGTTGCGGACGGACAGGCTCCCCAGGTAGTGCTGGCTGGCCTCAACAGGCCCCCCCGAGCAGTCCAGGGCGGCCTCAACACGCCTCAACCCCTGGGGGTGTCGAGACCCCCCTGGACTATTCGTTGGACGGCCTGTTGAAGCCAACCAGAATTACCGGGGAAGGGGCCGTCCGCGCGCAACTCGAAGCCTAATTATTAGCTGCCCACTCCCTTCTACGCATGAGTTTCGCATGCTGTTGACCTCCGCAGGTCTCGACCCATTCCCTGGGACTGGCTTTTCATCCTGAGTTGTTTTCTGACGGCCTCGGGGCCCGGTAAGGGTACCCAGAGGCAGAAAAATGCAAAAGCAGTGTCCGCCGCTGTTTGTCGTCACAGTTCGAGGATGTCTGAGCATCGTGCCTATGCGGCGCTTCCGACTATAGTGCTCTGTGGGTCTGGTGTCCGGGGTGTCCGGGGTGTCCGGGGGACGTGTCTGGGGTGTCCGGGGGACGTGTCCGGGGTGTCCGGGGTGTCCGGCGTGTCCGCGGTGTCCGGGGTGTCCGGGGTGTCCGGGGTGTCTGGGGTGTCCAGGGTGTCCGGGGTGTCTGGGGTGTCCGGGGTGTCCGGGAGACGTGTCCGGAGTGTCCCGGGTGTCCGGCGTGTTCGGCGTTTTCTTGGTGTCCGGGGTGTCCAGGGTGTCCGGGGTGTCCGGGGTGTCCGGGGTGTCCGGGGTGTCCGGGGTGTCCGGCGCATGTCC